ATTTAGGACCCTTGTTATTTTCAATTTATGCAGCCGATATTGCTGAGTCCATTCAAAATTCACAGCTAGTCTTTTGCGGATGACACTCAACTGCTTTACTTCTTTTATCCTGAGAATCTCCAGACTGCTACTATGGAAATTAACGAGGACATTGACTCCATTTGCACCTACTCAGCCAATAACAGCCTAACCGTTAATGCTTCTAAATCTTCTGCTGTGCTGTTTTGTCCAAATCACAGAAGTGCCGAAGTCAAAGCTTCCTTGAGTATATCTATTAAAAATCAAAATCTTCCTTTTTCTGAAAGTGTCAAGTGTCCAGGTGTGTTTATTAATGAAAACGTGTGGCTTCGAGAACATTTAAATAACCTCTTACAAAGAAGTTACATCCGTCTGAGAACTCTGTATGCGAACAAAAATTTGCTGAATTTTAAAGTGCGAAAAAAGTTGTGTGAATCTTTTGTGTTATCTATTTTTAATTATTGCAATCTAGTTTATCATCCTTGTTTGGATGTTGCAAGTCGTAACAGAATATCTGTAGTACAAAATAACTGCGTACGATTCATATTTAGTTTAAGAAAATTTGATCATGTTTCAGATCGTTATCCTTTAACAGGTTGGTTGAAGATTACACATTTACTTAAATACAACTATCCAACCTTTATACATAAGTTACTTGTCTCTGGAACTCCAATTTATTTACGTGAAAAACTAATTTTTAGGTATAATGTTCATCATCGACATATCCGTAACACATTTCCCCTTAACAATGCCACTTCGTAGTTCATCTGTTTTTAACAGGTCCTCCTCATATAATGCATGCATGTTGTACAGTAGCTTAGATTACAGAACAAGAAGCCTGCCGCTGTATAGTTTTAAAAAACACTTAAGAGCTCTTCTGCTCAACGGTGATTCTTAAAGGTGTTTTTCTCCAGCATTAAATTTTTAAGCTAATTTTTATTTAGGTTGTAATCAGTTACATCGGCATTTTCCTCCTTTTACTTTCTTTACAGCTGTACTTTTTTACCATCTATTATTCTTATGCAGTTAATGGTTAAGTGTAAGAATAGACCTCGGTTGGCCGCGTGGGTCAGAGTGCCGTGCTACTGATCAGCCGGCCGGCCGGGCCGCGAGTTCGAATCTCGCCTTCGCCATGGATGTTGTGTGTTTGTTTTAGGCAGCAGCGGTGGCCGCAGTAGTAGACCTTCGGTCTCCTGATCAGTCGCCGTGCGCTGTGCGGGTTCGAGTCCCGTCCCAGGAGAAATTTTTCTCTTGGCTATGGATGTTGTGATTGTCCGTAGGTGGTAGATGGTCTCTGACTGTCGAACGCGGAGGTACCACCCGGCGGTTCTCGTAGGCGGAGCCAGAATGTGTGCATGTTGCATGCACACGTGTTCCCTCGCCAGAGTCCGTGTGGCGACCCCCCTTTCCCATGTATCCCCCTATAGCCCCACGGTACCCAATGGGTGCTTAGGCCTTAAGCCTTCGTGGTAGTTGGGGTATAAAAAAAAAAGCTGCCATAGCTAAACTTCGCCATTAAGTTGCTCACTAATCTAATTATAGATAATAATATATGCATTATCTGTAATTTGTTTTTTCTAATAAAAGACGGTTTATTATTATTATTATTATAACGTATGTTCTAAATGTTCTCAAACTTCATTTATGGATGTTTTCCGAGATTTCGATCATTTTAGGGCGTCAATAACTTTAACGAGCACCTAAATGTTGAATGGCAAGTGACAGTTAATCTGCTAGACAATTCTTTACTTCCTACGCCGCTTGCGAGGAAGTATTGTTATCGCAATAAATTTCGAAAATGAGCTATTACGTTTTATGATATGTACACACGAAAAACGATGTCACCCATTCCCGTCGGTCTGTCTATCGGTCTGTTCGCTAATTCTTGACCCAGCTATAACTGGGTAACGCTCGGACTTTGATGAAATTTTCACGCAAGGTTGCTGCGTAGCCAAGCATAAAAAATAAAACTCGCTCAAACTTCATTTTTTTTCCACGTTTTAGAGGATCCTGATCATTTTTTACTACATCTTTAGGGGTGAGAAATCAGAGGGGGGGGATTAGGGATATGAGAGATGTAACATCTCAGTTTTTGGCGTAAGCAAACTTATACGCCTCCAGCCGCGGTATTTCTACGCACTTATTAGCGATATTTTACTCATCACAGGCTTCCCCGTACATTTACTCTTGAAGCTTCCTAATCCTATATAACCACAACATTGCACAGAAAAGCATGCTAAATATGCAAATTTTTTATTGTAGGAGCGTGTTTGACTAAGTTTATTTTCATTAATTTACCTGTAAGTGTTGGTAGCTAACTTTTTTCTCAGAGAGATCAACTTGTGCGGAGCATAACCATTTATGAACTGATGACAGCGTTGCCTAGCAAGCGCACACTCAACCTACTTGACACCATTTTTTACAAAATTTTTAGCTCGAAATTCAGTAATACGGCGATGTCCCATTCAACTGCAATCCCTTCCATAGCCTCCCACCACCCCCTGATTTGCAGGGGTGGTCTGCAACGGCAGCGTGAGTACGCACCAACCATAACGAACGTAGTATGTTCACTCGACCAGTGGCGGAACGCAAAACAAAAACCAACCGATCCCTTGGGGGCTAGGGTAAGGGGAGGGTTGTTTCTCCCTATCCCACACGTACTCGTGCACACTGTTGCGTCGCCGGCACCTGCCGCTCCCTAGGGAGACTTTGGGGGAGCAGCTGCACTGTTGTCGGGTCTTCCATGGTTTCTGCAGATTTTAGAGATATATTTAAATGCGTCATATAAAGATAAAATCAAGAACTTTTTGTATTCGCGAGAACTAGCACTAGGCGAAGTATAATCAATGCGAACAACAAAAAGGAGGAAGGTCGATTACTAAGATGTAGTGAAAATTTGTTAGCTTCTCTTACCTTTCTGGAAACTATATTCCAGAATACTGGTGAAGAATCGCTCCCACCATCGCCCATTGATGTCATCTCTAAAGGCGAAGATGACTTTATGATGTTTTTTTTAATGCTATGATGATTCTAGAAACATAATTTTACCAAAAGCGAATGTATTTTCGGCTCTAGATCATCGAGGTCTTGATCTGGCAGGAACACATCCCATCAGTAGTGGCAACTGCTAGGAAAAAGATAGGCTATTTGTTACGGCTTAAGAAGCATTTTTCTCCACATGACTCAGCCTCGAGTATTGTTCAAATGTTTGGGATGCTGCCGCTTTGACTAAACTGCTTGCCATGCTTGATGCTGATCAGAGGAGGGCTGTCCGACTGATCGGTGACGCTCATGTAACGAACTGTCTCGGGACACTTTTGCACTGGTGGGCCGTCGGCGATCTAGCTGTCTCTTACCGCTACTCCTATAGGCTTTGCTCTTCAGAGCTCAGGCACAGCACCCCGTGACTTCGGCCTCCCATCCTAACCGTGTCGAACTTCGTATATGCAGAACTAGCCAATATGACTGCTCCTTTCCACTATATGAGCAGGCTTTTTCCAGTTCTACTAACTCTAGGCAGTTCAAAAATCGGACACTTTAAAGTTTGTTTGGCAATTAGGCTTCTGCCTGCGCGGCTGTTTCAGTGTAAAGAAAATTGACAAACTTGAATGATAAACGCCGACAACCTTCAAAATTTAGGATCATTTCCAGAGAGCATTTCCTAAAGATCGTTCCATATTATTGCTCTCGAGAATTGACCTCCAGGCTGAGACATTTTTTTAAAGATATATTGAAGAGTACTATTATTAACAGAGGAAAATGACAAAAAATACCATCAAAAATATGGGTGTGACATTATTTTACAATATTACACCAATTACCTTAAGTTTTTACGGACGACAGTTGACGATTATTAGTAAAATATATGTATATCCCTGATTTGGAGGATAGGTAAGAAAGCTGGATACTTAGTGAGAATTCTCAATCATCAACTAACATTTTATACCTAAACAAGATTAAATAAATTATTTACAATGGTTACATGCACAGTTCTTAATTAAATAACGCATTAGTAGCTTTAATGATTCTATAGGTGTCCATTTTCACTTATTAGTTTTTACCTTTATCAATTTCGAACTTCACAAGTGATAGCACAAAAAAGTGAGTAGTTTATGTCATTAAAACGAATCTAGCTTGTTTCTCCAATAAAACTTCAACCAAACACCTAAATGAATCGATGACATGAAAAAGACGATTCTAGGTTTTTGTAATTTAAGAAAATATATAAATCCTCACCAGCAGATACCTAGAAATAACACTAAGAGTGTTCCCACTATATTCGCGAGGTGTACTTGCGGTGTACTGTAGTGTGTCAGAAATCTAAGCTACTATTTACACTTGGCAATAACCTCAGAAAACGCTTTAAAGATGTCTTGTTGTTCCATACAGTTTCTTACAAGAAGCAAGTGCTTATGAATACTACAACTGACCTTGATCTCTCGCAAAGTTCGACTCTGACTCTTAACCAAAGAATTGAGGTTGGTAAATCAGTATCCCGTAGAGAAAAAAACGGAAGGATATTACCAGTGCAACACGCGGGGGTAACACGTTTACCTAGACGCCAGACGAATAACCACATATAATACGCCTAGTAGCAACGAAATCAGACCATAAAAACTATGGATTTGACAGCTTTTTGACTAAATATTTCACAGACTGCTTAGATGATTACATTCCAATTATACCTTAGCATCTTAATGCTTAGTAAACAACTTGAGGTATGGGAAAAATATGAACCGCCGGGATTCTTTCTCTTTGTTCATTCAAGCTGCTTGATGCTCCACCTGGCGGTATTCAAGTGAAACACAAAACTAGACGGCGCTGTGCAAATAGAAAGCGGTCAGAGATACCTTACTAATCCGTTTATTTCACTTGAGTGCCGCCAGAAGAGGAATAAAACATCTTGAAAGAACATAGCAATAGCGGCATGTGTAGGATTGATTTTACCTCTAACAGTCGATTTTGAAGTTTGGTTGGCAGCTGATGCTGTAGACTAATTGGTGAGATCGGCTCTTCGGAATGTAGGAGCTGCGGGTTCGAACCCCTTCGGCATCCACTTCTTCTGTCTCTGAAGTTGTTTACTAAACGTATTCGCTGTTGCGGATGCGCTCTTATGAAAAAGCATATACATCTTCATTTGTTCATTTTTTCAATCATTTCCATAATTGTTGCCGTTTATGAAATGAACTAACATGAGAAGACGTCAATACGACTAAAACCATGGACTTATTAATTTAAACAGGACGGTGTATCCTCTTCAAATTTTGAAATAACGCTTTAGTACCCCTCAAGTTTCATATGAACCACTATTTAAAAATCTCTATGAAATTGTTTCTGGTAAATATCGCAACAGTAAGAGAACACCTCGTGTTTCTCATAATACATGTTAATCTTCTACGGCTTGTCATGAGAACTAAGCAACTAAATACCCAGAGTATATGAAAGCTCCAAGCACTTATCTAAATTGTGACCAAATCGCTATGGTGCGCTGTTAGTCTTTTTAACATACTGTATACATATACTTATATATATATATATATATATCCTCGGTCAGTTGTTTCCGTTATCCTTCTTTATGTGCCACCTAACTTGTCAGTTACTACATATGAATCTCTGATAGAACAACTGACAATGTTATTGTCCTAGGGGATTTCAATATACCGTCATACATTAATTAGATCGAGGATAACAATTACAGCAATACCTGTATATTGGCACTCAATAGTCTGATCAATTTTCTAAATATGTCTCAACACAACTTTGTCCAAAACTCAAACAACCGGATTCTAGACTTAGTATTCAGTAAAAATGCATTGAAGGTGAACTTGGCTTCAGGTATCTTGCTTCCAGTTGATGGCTATCATCCTCCGCTTGACATATTTTTTCTATGGAAGATGAATTCGGCAATTTTGACGTTAATGCAAGTCCTAAATACAATCATAGAAGAGCTAGCATGCACACATTGTATAACGTTATCGCTGCTCTAGACTACACTCCTCTATATTCCTTTAGTAACATCACCGACGCGTGTGATCAGTTCTATGAAATACTATTCTCGGTAATCACTCGGAGTGTACCCCGAATACTGTCAACGAACACTTCTTAGCCTTGGTTCAACAATACTATTATTTCAAAAATCAAGAAGAGCGAAGATTATGGAAACAGTGTAAAAGAACTTGTAATCCTGCGGACTGCGACGCTTTTCGAAATCTCCGAAGAAACATAAAAATTAGCATTAATGTTGCATTTCAAAGGTATACCACTAAAATTGAACAGGGCATAGCTACTAACTTTCAAACATTTTGGTCTTTTATTGATTCTTTGAAAAATACTTCTCATATCCCTGATAGCATGATGTTTGATAAAAATCAACTTCACAAACCACCAGATATTGTCAGCGATTTTGCAGATTTTTTCCAGTCCGCAGACTCATTTTCACAAACTTTACACACACAAACTAACCTGACTGACATTATCTTTGAATATACCAATTATTACTGAGAAACAGGTTGTTGCCGCTTTGAAAAAGATTGAACTCAAGGTATCTACCACTCCAGATCTAATCCCTGCATTTTTACTGAAACACTGTGCTTTTGTTTTAGCTGAACCTTTAGCTTATCTGTATAACTCATCTCTTAATACTGTTACATTTCCCATTGCTTGGGAAACATCTAGGATTGCTCCCATATTTAAAAAGGGCCAACGTTGTGTCATTGAGAATTATAGAGCTGTTGTGATTATAAGCAACGTTGATAAGGTTTTCGAATGTATATTGCATGATATAATTTTCTCCTATGTTAAGCTCGAAGTTTTTCCAAATTAACATGTTTTTTTCCAAGGCAGATCTACTTTAACTAATCTAGCGTGTTCTAAACAGTTTTGCTCTGAAGTTATTGCTGAAGGGGGGCAAGCAGATGTTGCTTACGTTGACTTTTCAAAGGCTTTTGATAAGCTAGATCACGGTATTTTATTAAAGAAATTAGCTACGCGACGGATGGCCCTTCAATTCTTGAATATTTTCAATTCTTATCTTACAAACAGATGCTTGAAAAACCAATACAGGGGCTCCACCACCACTTAGATTATACCTTCTTCCGGCGTACCTCAAGGGTCTGCTATTGGCCCTTTGCTTTTCCAAATTTTCATTGATGACGTCTTTGGGGAGCTACACAGTAGCTGTCTTCTATATGCAGATGACTTGAAGATTTTTTGTAAAATTGAAACCATGGACGACTGTAATGCTGATAAATGCTACACTATGTCTATTACGCGCAAACTTGCTCCAATCAAATTCATATATAACACTGATAAGAACATGTGTTGAAGAGTTTCACGACTTAGGCATATTATTTGATACCAGACTTACATTTGTTTCGCATATTGATGCTGTTGTTAGCAGCGCCTATAAAAGTTTGGGCTTCATTTGTTCGATCCAAAATTGAACACTGCTCTATAATATGGTATCCTGTTCATGAAGTTCACTCGAATAAAATTGAACGTATTCAAAGGCGATTTGTGAAATATTTGTGGCTTCAGGCATGATGTATTACTTAGCAGATATAACCTATGTATGTTAACTTGGAGAACCGCAGAGACTACGCTGCCTGTGGACTTTTATATAAAATGCTTGATAATTCCATAGATTGTGAATATTTACTCGGTAAGATTCTTAGTCATGTACGTAATGCTAAAACGTGACCCAATAGGTTAAGTTATTTGGCAATTTTATGTTTTTTTAGAACAGTTTTGTCTTAAAATTGATTCCTGTGTCCCTATCCGTTAAATGGTGTGATAAACCATTCGGGTAATGTATATACTCGTAAATAAATAAATAAATAAATAAATGCAAGTGTCTTCATCAACGACTGTGTCGCTCAAAGTGGCAACACTGCACTTTAGAATGGCGACGAGACTGACTGTTTTTGCCACGGCAAATGCGAGGAGGTAATTGATGGGATACGGTTTTGACAGCAGGCACTATTGTTCTTCGGCTAGCATCGGGGGTAAACGAGGGCCGAAAGCGGGCTGGGAAGACAGGGGAATGGTCGCATCGTCAACGGAATTAGGGGAATCGACAGCGACGCCAAAGGGAATAGATGCTGATTTGGCGATTGGGGTGCTGCTACGGAATGCAGGGAGGGAGAGCGATAGGAAGGCTATCTAGAGTCGAGAAAGAGGGTTGCGGAATGACTGCAAGAAGTCACTTGCTTAAGGCTGTTAAGTTACACAAGAGATTTTATGTAGTCCATGATACCAGACGATACACTTTTTCGAAAGACGGAACATGGGATTCTGAATAATAATAGTAATAATAATAAGGTGCGGTACCTCGACAGCGTCTGCTCCCCATGTTAGAGGCGGCTGGTAATAAGGCTGTCGGAGGCTTGCTTGGCAGAGCTAAAAACTGCTACCCTCAAAGGTGAACTGATGAATCAAACAGAAAATGAAACTCATCTAGGCGGGCCGGGGCGGCAGGACCCGGATCGGAACCATCGAGAAGACATACTTGCAAACGACCAAGGCAATGGAATCGGAAATGACACGGATGCACTAGCTACAAATGCTCCTAGATATCAGAGTAGCAAGCATACCCAGACCTCTTCTGAATCTGGCCTACCTGATAACAACATCTACGTCCACTGTCAAAGAAAGAAAGCAAAGGCAGCAGTGGACTAAGGAGCAGTATAAGTATATAATATGGTGCTAATACTATGCAGGTTATACTAAATTGGAAGGTGGAGTTATCAAGGGTACATATTTAATATGGAGACGCAGGAATCCAGATATATTCCCTAACATCAATCCAAATACTCTCGCCAATCAATGTCGTTATAGAAAGTTGACCGAGCCAGAACTTGAACGAATAAAGGAATGTGCTCATGAAGAGCTTAGAATACATACAGACGGTCAAACACAGCAAAGAGAGACTAAAGTCGAACATAGCTCTACAGAACAACTAGCACCAATTCAATCAAGCAACGAAGATGACAGTGAATCGGCGGAAGTAATAATGAAGAGCAGAATATTACTAAAGTTTCACACAATCAAGCATCTTGAGTTTGAACAACGGAACAGACTTCCGCGCGTTGGCCTAATCCCGACATTGAAGCATGAAATATCAGTAGCTAATAAGAAACTCTGTTTTTTTTTTTGAACATATCAAATCAGGGTTCGGACAACTGTCGTCTAAGATTGAGCGTTTTCAAATTATAAACGGGTCAATGTATTACAAAGTCTAAAATTGGTAATATTCAATGCTTAAAAGTGAGTTATAAGTTACTGCCAAGTGTCCAAATCAAAGCCCCAACCTTCCTGTACAAGACTTCGAAGAGGACTTTTGGCTAAGTTTATTCTAAAGTAATTTTTTATCTTGCTTGGTAAAAAAAAAATGGAGATTTTTGCAGACTGTACTTTCAACGTCTGCTAAGTTGGTTAGAGGGCCAATTTGCTGGTATCAGGTCAGAAAGGTTAGATAAAAGTCAGACTAACTTATTTTAAACTCAGACTTCTGATTTTTGCATAAACTTAGTAGATGTCAAATAAGGTATCCCATATTAAATGATCTCCATCTAACTTTTGTATGAGCGACTAAGAAACAAATCTTTTCTAAAAAATTTATGCAGTGTAATATGGAATTTTGTGTCAAGGGGGAGGGGTTCCTTATCATTGACAGAAAAAATTGTACTGCTTAAAAAGTGGGGGTTGGGGGAAGGTGATTCTAAATGTTGCATCAGTGAAACACGTTCTATTATTTAGAAGCTTCTGATCCTAGCGATTACAGGAAATTTAAGTAACAAAAATCCGACGAATAATGTGCTCAGGGTTTGAAAAGATCAGTACCTGCTCTTTAGGTTTGACACCAAGAGCCAACAGATCAATCTGCAACTGCAGACAGTAGGGAAGAATGAATTCGGATATCACTCCAGTCAAGTATAGGGGAATTTAGCGTGGAACTTTAAAATTAACGATATATCAAGGAAATATGTTTTTGAGAACGATAATTTGCTAGATTTTATACCTGCATTTTCATTTCAATTTCATGACCCGTGAAATGT